GTAGACATGATCTTTGCCTTCATGGAACTCACAGACTAGAAAGCAGACAAGAGGCAGAATCATACAATTAATTAAAATAATCACTGGAATCAGTGCCTGGAAAGGCACCCAGAGCTATGACAGCTTATAACAAGGAGATCTGTCCTATTCTGGAGAAGGGCACCATGAAAACCTTTCTAAAAGAAGTGGTGCTAGGGATAGGCATCATGCCTCATGCCTGTAATCTCAGAATTTTGGAAGGCTGAGGTTGGAGGATTGTTTATGGCCAAGAGTTGGAGACCAACCTGGGCCACATAGCAAGACCCTGTCTCTCCAAAAATAAGAAAAGAAAAAGTGGCTGAGTGTGGAGGTTCACACCTGTAATTTCAGCACTTTGGGAAGCTGAGGCAGGAGGATTGCTTGAGCCCAGGAGTTCAAGACCACCCTGGACAACATAGTGAGGCCTAATCTCTATAAAAAAAAAAAAAAAAGTGGTGCGTGAGCTGGAATGTTCAGAAGGACACTGGACTATTTGAGAAACAAGCTTGGAAAAGAACATTCTAGGTAGAGGAAATAGCAAGTTCAAAAGCCCTGAGGCAAGAAACCATGCATTTTTGCCAATAGATGTAATTGTTAGGAAATCTGTGCTTGGTGTGTGGATTTGGGGGAAATCCTACAGATGCAAAAAGTAAAATATGTACTGTGCATAATAATCTTTATTTAAGACAATTACTAGACTTTAAAATGTGTTAACATGTGAAACTAACACAAACGATAATCTATTTATTCAACAAACATTTCTCAAAAGGAATCCAGGCTGAGGTTGAGTGAAGGAAGAGTAAGAGGTCCAAGGAGTCGAACCCAGAGAGGTAGGCAAGAGCTGGATCAGGCAATGCTTTTGAGAGTTGGGATATTTTTTAAAGTGCAATCAATAGGAAGCCACCAGAAAGTTCTTTAAAAAGTAACAATGAAAGGATTTATGTTGGGCAAGTGGAGTGAATGTTCTAGGGAAAATGGGTTGAAGCAGGCCAAGTAGAAGTAGTGAGAACAGGTAGAAGAAGACCATGGCCGAGGTCCAACAAGAAATGACACTGGTGGTGTGGATGAGGATGGTGACGATGGAAAGGAGAGACACAGCATGTTGTATGTATTCCACTCAGCTGGTTGGCGCTCACCTAACCTCTCCTCTGCCTGACCTGGGAACCCACCCCTGGGCTAGCTCTCTGCCCCCTTCTCAAGAGGGCAGTGAGGGTTGATCGGGCCCCTGCATTTAAGCGCCTTCTGGTTCCTCAGTGGCCCCAGCTCCCCGCAGCCCAGGCTGTTCAGCTTGGCGCCCAAGGAGGTCTTTTTCTCCAGTGAGTGGGTCTGAAGAATGACGGAGCTGCTCACTAATCTGATCCTGCTCCTGCTTACTGAGGAGGGGAATTGGCAGGGGGTTGCTCTGGTGTGCTTGTCCTGCTTGTGTTAACTGCAGGCCCCAACCTGGAGAAAAGCTAGAGGATTACTGCTCCTGGGGCTCCCTGCCCCCTCCTCGCCCCAAAATAGCTGAAGGAAAGGCTTGAACTTTTTCTCTTTCACAAGGAGACACAATTTTGTATTTGTGATAGGGAGAGAATATATTTTAAACCTGCCTTTTCTACTGATAACAGGAATGCAATCTTATTAGAGAAAGTTGGAAAGTACAAGAAGGACGACTAACCAGTATTTATAACACTACCCTGCATTTTTGCATGTCTCTCCAGTCAAATATACTTATTTTTAAACAGTCAAGGTCATATACACTGAATATAGTTCTGTGTATCTTGCTGTTTACGTTTTGTGCTTTAAGCTTTTTCCCGTGTCATTAAAAATTTCTCCGTAAATGATTTTCATATCTGCAAAGTAGCCTTTTTAAAACATTTTACTTAACCTTTCTCCATCTGTTGGACATTTGGTCTGTTTGGAACTTTTTTGCATAAGAAGGGCTGTGATGAACATCTTTGCTATAAATCTTTGGCTGCATTTTGGATGCGCCTCTTCAGCCCCCACCTTCACCTCCTCCTAGATTTCTAGAAGGGGGATTAATGAAGGAAGTTGTATAGTCAGAAGATAGGAAAGCAGAACTCTTCCTAGGGTAATTCCCACCAAAAAGTAGCTCTGCGCCCGTCATAGAAGCCACAAAATGGACTAGTCATTTTCCTCGGTAAGGACTTGATGCTTCCCACATCACTTTCATTCACCAAGAGGTGGCTAGTAGGTGTCTCTGTGTCAGGAATGACCTCTCTCTAGAGGCCCGCCCCGCTGGATTATGGCTTTGAGGGGCAGCTGGGGCTGTGATTTCACTGGTTTCTCTCTTGGTTTTGCGGCCGGCAGAGGAGAGAGTATCCTGCCAGCCCTGGGAGTGTGGTTCCACTGCGCCGCGGTAGAACCAGCTACACAACCTTGAGCACCGTCATTTCCCCTTTTGGGGCCAGTTTCCTCCTGTGTAAAACAAGGAAGAGGAGGGAGGAGGAATTAGAGTTTGACCAGATTTCATTATTGTTGCTGTTTAAGCAGCAGAACGCTTGTTATAAATTAAACCTTATCAGAACCCCAATGTATACAACTGATTAAGGTACAGTTCCCCTGATAGACGTGAGTGGGGAGGAGTGGGGGAGGGGCCCCAGTTTGAAAACTCCGGCCTAGAAGATGAAAGTTTCATTCTAGTTCAGTTCAGTTCTCTTCCCTATTGCTGAAGGGTAGAAAAAAAAAATCTTTCATCTGTATTTAAATCCTCCTAATGTGCTGATTGATGAAATCTTTTCTCTTAAAGGCAATTTGGAAATCAGACAAAGTGAAGCACAAAGCCATGGATGTTTAGAGAGAGAGTGAGCAGTATGTGAGGCACGCTGAAAGGGTGACCCTGGCACTTCTAAGAAGGCAGCAGCACAATGGACTCTTCGAAAGAAGCAGTGTCAGAGTTTATTCCCCTGTTGGCACCGCCTCCCACAGTGGGGGCGAATTGCTTGTTTTTATCCTCCCTTTCCTGGAGTCATTTCAGACCAAATTTGAGTCCACAATTGCTAGCAATTGGAAACGCAGAGTAACCTACGGACAGGTATTTTATTGAAGGCCAAACACGGTGAAAAATATGATGGGGGGACTGATAGGACAAAAGAGTTTCCTCTCGCCCCTGGGTTTTTGGATTACCCGGGTTGAGGGGCAAGGGGAGATGAGACTCACTGATCAGGCAGCTTGCGGGTTTGCTCCGATCACAGCAGCAAGGGTTGAAGCACCAACCAGCCAGGAGGGGCGCGAGGTCTGTGTTCCCGGGATTGGGAGAAGGGGGAGTGGTACCGAGGCAGAGATTGAATCCGAACAGGGGCCCCAGCCCGAGCTCGAGCCTGGACGCGCGGCAGGACCAGGAGGAGGACTGGGTGGAGGGCAAAGCGTATGGGTCTGTAAATCAACGCCGGCCCCCTCCCACCCCACGCTGCACGGTAGGGGATGGAGTGAGGGGGGTGAGGGGTGGCAGTGGAAATGTCTTAGGGGGCTAGTGCTGCCTTCCCAGGGAGACCCAACCTTTCTTGGAGAGGCGGAGTGGGTTTAGTCTCCAGGATCCTCAGTGATGTGTAAAAAGCGGGCACGACCCCCGAAGCCTCAGAAAGCCCCCTCCCCACCCCACCCCCCAGGCCCTCCCCGGCCCGCAGGTGAATGACTGGCTCGCACAAAGGAAGCCGGCTGGAAATGTGGAATTCGGACCAATTTACGGGAGACTCTGTCGCCTAGCTAGGGTCCCAGCAGACCTCAAGCAAAGAAACCTGTGGTCAGTAGTGGATGAGGATAAAAACAGTGCACCAGGCCAAGCTTATTGGAAAGGCTGAGTTTAGTTATTCTGGGATAGCGAGGTAACAGGATTAAAGGGATTAAGGAAATCACCTCAAACAGCTGAGGAGGGGGTAAAAAAACACTGGTTCTATTTGTTTTCTTCCTAGGCCCCAAACAGATACACTGGGGCCGTGTGGCTGGGCGCGAAACTAAAGGCCCTTCGGGGGGCACAGTGGAATGGCCAAGGGTCAGGAACTGGAGGAAAGTGGGGAGGGGGAAGGAGTAGAAAGCGGGCTCGAGACTCTGGATGAAAAGGAGCCTTCTCTGGAAAACAAATAGGTGGACTGAGTTGACACGTTAAAAACAAAACGCCTGGGAGGAGTTTCGGAGATCTTTGAAAATCTAAGGAGTACTTTTTAATACCAAATCTTCCAGCGCTGAATGTTGACTCGGCGGTTCAGCTACCAGGGTTGAAATGTATTTGTTTCCTGCTGGGGATCCCTGTAACCATTTATTTTTAATAGGATCATCGAGATTTCCGAAGGGTTTTCGTTTTGTAAATATTTCAGCTAGGCTCAAATGTCTTCCCGCCCCAGTGCACAAAGGTAAAAGTGCCCCGTTTTTGGTCGGTTTCAGCGGCCGCGCCTTTCCAGCCCCGCCTCGCGTGGCTGCGGCAGCAGACATTTTCAGCAGACGCTCACTGCGATCAACAAGTGCGCGGCGGCGGGCTCTGCGCCTTAGCTACCGTGTGCCTGCTCCCGGGAGACGCTCCTAGAAGACAAGCCGCTTTCTGCTCCGAGTTTCAGTTGAGACTATTGGAAGCTAGTGTATGGTGGATCGCCAGTAGTTAAAAGGAAACCATTTCAGATTATGCTTGCCTCCCCCCAGGTCCCACCTCGTCCCTAGGATGGGATCTCAGTTGTAAAACCGAGTGTTGGTCCCCTCCCCAACCCGCAAAAAAGTTTCAGGGCCGCAAAATTATCAGGACTCCATCATGTTGGTTATAAAATTTATTGATCTCTCATTTAGGAAGTAAGAGTAAAAGCTTGAAAAACCTGAAACAAAGTAGCCCCTCCCCACTACCCAAACGAAATCTGAACACATTAGCGCGACGAAATATCAAACAGATCACGGCAGAAATCACCAACTCAACATGACTGGACAGAAGCTGTCCCGCGGCCAGGGGCGGCGAGGCGGGAGACACACGCACACCTGGCTATAAATTAACATTGGCTTTAGCTGCCGCGCCGCTTGGAGCGGTCAGCGCCCCCAAAAAACCACGAGAAAAACAGATGCGACACGACTGGGGGCGTAGGCGTTGCAGTTCTCCAACTAGCCTCACCCGATACTATGTTTCTCCCATTCACTCCTTGGCTAACTGCAAACTAACAAGACAACATTTTCAAATGTAACAGAATAACCCAGGA